TAATTCGTTTGTTTGAATTCGTTTCCACACCTATGTGTGAACTTTGCTGCGCACCGCGAACGTTTGGCTCAAGCTGAGTGAAAAAGACTTGCAGCTGTCCGCTGTGTTTGGGGACTTGACTTCCAAGGGAAAAGGTCTAGGAGGGACCTTAAGTTTTTCACGCAATGGGACTCCAGTGCAGAAGTTGTCCTCGCCTTGCGTGATGATCTCCCAGTCCGGATCACCCAGCAGCTCAGCCGTGCGGGCCAAAGCCGGGAGGTAGAAGGGCTACCTCTCCGGGACCACCAACAGGTCGTAGCCCCCGGTATCCCCAAGCAATCCAACCCACTGCTGCCACAGCTGAGCCATGTCTCGCTCGGCAAAAAAAAGATGAGGTGAACCGTGGTCACCTTAAGCGAATGGCTCGAGAGCGGCTTCTCCGAGGCCGGGCGAGGGATAGCTACTTCATCATTCCGAAGGCCCGCCTCTTCCGGAGGTCGAGAAGTAGCGGGGCCTGGCCGATCCAATTCCTGGTCTCACCAATGGTAAGATCCTTCTGCGCTGCGCACCTGGAAGTTTTATGGTGTGGGGTGCCAAGTTCTGTGAAGCTGTGGCGCCAGAAGTCGGACCCACATCTGTCCACTGTCAGTTTCACGCAACGGATGTCGAGACGCGCTGGGCCGTAGAGCATCGCCAAAAAGTGGGCTGCTCCGGGCAGAGTGCAGTTGCAACACTTCCGCCACCGTTAAGGGAGGGGCCGGGCACGCACACTGATTACACTCCATGCTGCCGTGACCATGTCTACACAGTTAGAGCTGATCCTTCTTGTCTTGCTTGCGAACATGAGCGGTCGTGACCCAGCTCTGTTGAAAATGAGCTCTTCATGCGGAGCGCAACGAGGCATTCCACAAGATTTTGTGGCTGTTGCATGCTTTTTTTCGAGCTTCTTTGACTTGGCTTCTTTCCTCGAGGGTGACGAGAATGAGGGAGACTTCTTACGTGCTGTTCTTGCGCTAAAGCACCCAGCCTGGACCAGTACGCATGTTCTGTGAGTGGTTGATCAAATCGAACAGTTCCCCGCTATTCGGGGAAAAGGTGGTTTGGACTTTTGTTCATTGCGTTTTGATGCCCCGTACTGCAGCTTCCACACTGGACACGTGCTTACGAGCTATTAAGTGGAGTTATCGCTCGCTGGGACTGCGGGTGCAACTGGAAGTTTTTCGGAGTGCTAGAGTGAGCGGCTTGGTGACACAAGCCCTCCAGGACAGCGTCGCCTCTGAAGGCCTGGAAATTCAGTCTGACGTTCAGATGCTTGAATCCACAACCCGCGGCTTGGTGTTGCGGCACTCCCTTCGATTCGCCATCATCGCCAGTCACTGCGTTGAGCGTAGCGTTCTGCCCAGAGCGTAAAATGCAGACATCAACGGGTCGCCTTGCTTCGCTGCCCTCAGCCCAACAAACTTCAGCACGCGCACCGGCACGGAGGTCCTTTCCGTCGATGCCGTTGGTGCCATTGACCACGTTTCGCGCGGATCCATCTGAGATTTGCTGCCCTATGCACGGCAGATCTATGCCGCGCCTCGCGGCCTGGCGTCTGTTTTTGTTTCGACGACGATGGCTGCGCGCATGAGGCCGTACTGCCGTGGGGCCACCGCCCAGAGACCCGCCGAAGCAAGAAACGCACCTACTCGGAGTTCGGACGGGCGTCGCGGTGCTGCTTGGTCATTCTCGGCATCGAGGTTGGGGGCCGCTGGAGTGCTGAAGCGGCCAACTTCGCCCGGTTGCTGGGTCGAGCACGAGCACGCACTGCCCTCCCTCTGCAGCGTGCAGCAACAATCGTTGCGATGGTCGGGATTATTGTCGGTTGTTGCAGCCAGGTCCTTTGCTGCCAGCTTGCTTTCCATGCCGATATCGAATACCGCTAATGTTGAGAGCGAGTCACCTTTGCTCAGCGACGTCCTCGCTGACTGCGCCGAGTCACCCCCGTTGCCTCCCGCCTGGCGTAGCGCGTGTGTGAGCTCTGCGCCGCTGCGCCGCCGGAGCCCTCGTTGCACTGGGACCGCGTGGACTTGTCGTAAAAAGGTGTGTGGAAAGAAAACACAAACATGTCCTCGCCCGGCCGCGACGGCTTGAAGGGCGGCGTGCTAGGCCATTGCAGAAAGTGCAGGCATGAGCGGGTCGGCTTGCAAGACCTCATGTTCGGTGCCAGCGTCGTCGGTTCAGACGTGCCTGTCGGGAGAAATGGTCGAACCCCCCTACAGCGTCGACCGACAGGACGGTGAGGCGAGTGCATAGTTTTTTCTTGTTTCACGGACTATTCCGCCTGCGAGAAGATGCGCCCCCTGCCACAAGAGCGCCAAAGGCTCGTTGTGCTCGGTGCGTTCCTCGGGACCGACGAGTTTGTGCAGCAGGCACTGCTGCTAGGATCAGTGACTTGCAGTCGGCCTGGTTGCTGCTGCTCTTCCGTGCGTCAACCCGCGCCAACTGCCTCCTCTGCATGCTCCCTCCGCACTGCACGGCCGATTACTCCCACAACTACGATCGCGCCGTTGCTTTGTGCCTCCGCACCTGGTCTACGGCGAGGAAGCACCGCACTGCCGGCCGACGCCCTTGCCGCAGCGCGCTTGGGATCGTTAGGTGGGCTGGGTTTGCGATCTGCCGCCTCCGGCGCTCCTCCGCCTATTGGGCCTCGCCTTCCCGGCGATCCTCCAAGACATGAGCAAGAACTGTTTACGACAGGTTAAACAGTTAAACATATTGCAAAGCGCTGTAAACGATCAGGCGTGTTGCAGAAGCTTGCTACAGTGTTTGTGAGAGGGATGGGGCCGGCAAACAACGCGCGTGAGTTTTGGCATGCTTAGCCGGTCTTGAAGTTTTGATTTGCCGGATTGTTCGGCTATAGAAAACTATTTGTGTGCCCCGAAGATTTGACATGTTGCTTTTGATTCAAGGTTTTCTTGCCGCTTGTGTCAGGAAAGTAGCACAATAGCACTGTCGCGCAGTCATTTGGCAAGGGCGGCTTTCTTGAGATTGTTTCGTTGCTTTTGTGTAACAACAAAACGTTAACCAGCGGACATGCGATTGACGCTGGCCAACGTTGCGGACGGCTTGATAGGCCAAAGGCCTGCCCCAACAGCCAGTGAGAAGGGGCTCAAAAAAATGGTGTCTGAACAGCCCGCTCCTTTGTCCAATCCACAACGGCATTGAGACAACATCGATGTTCTCGGCCGTTCCTGCGAGAACCAAGCTACTGACAGCTAGTGTACAGAGTCGGATGCATTGCGGTGGATTTGGAGCAGTGCCTCGTTCGGCAATGGCATGACAATATTCGAGGGGACTCTGCCTGCGATCATAGAGAAAATATTGTAGACGGCGGGGTTGCAGGTGTCATTCATTGCTGCAACAGATTCCGTGTTACTCAGGCGAGCCATGGAGTTTGGATTGACGGAAGAGCAGGTCCGCGTGTACACAGAGGCTGCCTTGGATGAGCGTGTTTGCTCGGCTGCTTGTAATTGCTTCATTGAATGCCAGGCATTCAATGACATGGACAAAAATCACACCGGTGTCCTGCAGCCAGCCACTGTCTGAGAACATATTAATGCAAAGAGCGCAAGTTTAGCAGGTCCTCACGACCTCCAGAAGTAATCGCAACTGGTTGAATGCTTCGTCATAAGTGCACGTCAGAGATTGGCGGGGCAATTCGACCGAATCGTGTTCTCCGTGTGGAAAGCCCAAGGGCTCCGGGGCTGCAGCCCGCAGCGAGAGAACAAACGCTGAGAGAGGGCGGCAAACAGGATTGCCGGGTGTGTTTTGGAAGTGGAACCAGACCCGATATTCATCGATCGTGAATCAAGCCCGTGCTGTCTGCGCATCGGGGCACAACACCGTGATGGTCCGAGGTGGGGCCCCGCAGAAAAGCATTGAGACTTAGAGGGGACACCGAAAAAAAACGACCAAGCAGCTTCAAGGGCTTTGAATGAGCCCTTTTTGCAAGCCCACGACGAGACCTTTTGTCCGATGCTATTGCTCCTGAGTGTGCGGGCCCGGGATGGATTCTTCGATCTTACATGGAAGCCGGCAGTGACGTGGTCCAGTTGGGTTGCCATTCTCAAGACTAGTCATGGTCATGTCTGGCTTGCAAGTGTTGCGTTAACGGGGTTGTTTTTTGTGCAATTCAGTTTTGGCCGACTTGCACCATTTCTTCCTGACTGCAAGACGGAGCTGGGGATCTTGATGCGATCGCGCGGGCATACACTCTCGGATGAGGCTCTATTGGGCATGCTTGCAGGGCGCATGACTTGTCCAAATGTCGTAATCCAGGATATGCGCGACCTGGCTGCTGACAGGCCAGTTCTTCCTGGCTTTGAGCTAGCGGGTCCTAAAGCTTCGATTGGCCTGACTTGAGGCATGGGACCGTAACCCTTGCAGACTTTCTACAAATTATGGCGAAGCGCGAGCAGGATTGCTTCTCAATTCTGTGTACTTGCAACAGGTTTGCATGCCTGCAGTCTTGACCTTTTTCTCTATCTCGGTATCCCTTTCTCTCCCTCACTTCCGACCTCGTTCGGGTGCTCATTCGTTGGAAGGATGTGCTCCTTCAGCAGAAGCTTGCTCAAGCTTTTGCGGTCTTTGACAAAGATGGAAGTGGTTTCATCAGTGTCAATGCAGAGAGTGATTTCCGGAAGCAAATGACGCGACCTGACTGCACGTTTGTCAGCTGCGTCTGGCACGAAAGAAGAGTTGGATTGTGGCGGAGGTCGTTAGGAAGCAACCCATTCACCGACGAGCAGTTTGAAAACTTCCTGAGCGAGTTTCCCTGCTCATTGGGCCATGCGAAGTGCCGTGAAGTCAAACGCCTGTGCCAGGTACAGGGCCGAAGCTGCTTCACAACATCCAGCAGAACAGGATCGCCCAGCGTAGACCACCAGCACGCGCGTTTATCTTCGCGCCTGTTGTCAGCAGGATGGCTTGGTGGACTACCAGGCCGACCTAAGCAGCTTGTGCAGGGTCCCTCGGTCGACCCACACCCCACGGATCAAGGGAGAGGGAAAGGGAGCGGCGACGGGCCTGCGGAGAGGAAGTTCCGTTCCCACCACCTCGCCATCCCATCCGCGGCAGTGCCGGCACAATCGAGGGATCGTCAACTTATTTCTACACCGCGAGTAACATGATCTGGAGGCTTGACCTGACCCCTCTAGTCTACCCGTACGAGTGCAGCCACCAGTGGGCAACATGTGTTTGAGCACCGGGTAATACATTATACGGTAATTATACGCGGTCCATGCATGTATCTCTGCTGGGAGGGCGTGTAACCAGTTCAATGCTCCAGGATCGTAGAGCCTGGCAGGAGTTTATCAAGCTGATGCTTCGGAAGGCTCCTTGAGCGGCGTAGCTCGGCCTTTTCTCATGGCATTTTCTGGTAGGGAGCGAATGAATGTTTGAGCCTGCAAAGACTGCTGTGCTTTGGGGCACTGGAAAAGTCAATGCCCTGTGTGTTTCACTCTCGTCGCATTTCAGATTGATTTCTGCATGTGGGCGAAAATTGGCGATCCGGTGGCAGTATCATCGTCGCTGTTTCTGGCCTTTTGCCCATCCTTGGTCTGGGATGATTCTTTTTGCAGGGGGTTTCGGCAGGGTTGAGCAGGAGCTGGGCACGTTGCAAACCATGGGTTTCGAAACCGCAGTAAAGTGGCAGCACGTGGTGAAGCGAGGCCAGGATGTATGCATCATCCAGGCGGCCCTTTGTGTGCCGGCCGGGACGGGGTCTGCTGAGGGCAGGTGCAAGCGCCAAAGCCAACAGTGCTGGCATGAGCCGGTCTCCGCGTGCAGCACGTTCAGCTTGGGTGATGCGGTTGGTCAACGAACCTGCGGCCCACACAGCCGTTTTCTCGCGGATTGCTGAGGGCTTGCGAATAGCAAACAATCGGCAGAGCGAGGTCGAGAGTAGTCACGAGCAGCAGTTGTACCACGAATAGGCCATGGGCCACAGGTGACATTGTTGCACTATGTCAGCTGTGCAGTGGGAAGACACACCGACCAGGGAAACGTCAGAGAAATGATACCGCAACGGTTTCTTGAAATAGGAGCCCTGGCTGCCTGCCGGTGGAATGGGACGCTCCTTAGTTGCTATCCGCCAGGACGCGAGCATTCGGCCAGCCTTGGTCTGCCTTTTCTGAGATCTGACATTTGAAGTAAGAGCTCCGAAGCTGAGCCGTCGAATTGAACTCGGCTGCGGCCTCCGAGCAACAAAAAGATGTGATGCGGTTGGCTAAGTAAGCACTTTCCGACTTCCGGCCCGGCCTGAATAGGTTCATGCTGATTCAGAATTTACTTCAGCAGCATTTCGCTTCCAATGTAAGATGCGTGTTGTGGGATGTGGTAGCCAGTGTAAGTGGTCGGCACGCACCAGAACCAGTAGCTCACTACGCACACTGACAGGGTGACACCGTGATGATTTGCTTCTGGGTGAACAAGAGTTGATGTTTTGAAGGGTTCTGCATGCTTCGCCATGGATGCCGTTCATGCAGAGAGGCAGGAAGCCTCAGAATCCATATCGTTTGAATACAGTACCCTTCAGTCAGGTCGAAGTTGGTCCAGCGGCAGAAACAACAGCGACAGGAGTGACGACAGTATGTGGCACCGTGTAGCGGAAAATGCCTGCTGCAGCCGCTGGAGTTTGTGTCGCCAGAGCGGCCGGGTCCTGCTAGGAGCTGGAGAAGAAAATCAAAAAGCTCAAAGGCTGGCACTGTTTTCCAACGTGTGTGTGGTTGCCGGGGAACCTGGAGGTGCCATGAAAGAGGCTGCGCAGAAGGAGCTGGACGAGCTGGAACAGCAACACGAGGCAGCGGCTCTTGAACGCCGTCTCTTGAGGTCCATTTTCGCAGCTTCGGATCCTTGTGCAGGCTGAACTGACCAACTTCGATGCGAACAAGGGTGTGGCAGAAGGCCCAAGCAAAGAAGCGGATGCCTCAGGTCGAAAAAGGTAGCAGCAGCAGGAGCCGCAACACCAGCACCAGCAGCAGCACCAAGACAGCGCCCGCGCCACCGCCCATCGCCAGCACGAACAGCTTCTGCTGTTTCATGACTTGACTTCTTACGTCGTCAGCCTAGTTGTCTTCACTCAGCCACCATCGCCCCCGATCTCATCTTCTTCATCCTCAGGATATCTCATGATCCTCATCTTTATAATGCCCCATGTCCTCATCATCATTATCATCATCATCATCATCATCATCATCGCGACTATTTCTGTCTGGGGGAAGATCCTGCATAAAGCGAGTCGGCATAATGTGCCTTCGTCTCGGTTACTATCCTCCTGTGTTTGGATCTGATATCTGTATACATACAAGCAGCCGCACCGACCACAGCAGAATGCTTCTTTCCGTGGTGCTCCTAGCATACATCTGCAGTATGGCCGGCCCTTCTTGTTTTCTCCGCTTGCTCCTCTGCTGCGAACGCAATGCAAGCGTCTTGTTGCATACGCAGCATGGAAGGACGTGTTGAGGCTAATTCCCAAGTAACCTAGCATTGGAATCAAGCGTTCTCTGCGGTCCTGAGTTCGAGCGCTCCGAGGTTGTGGCAGATGCCGATTCTTCTTCGATTATGCAGGCGAGCAATCTGATTCGCGATGGTTGGCGAACTCTGCCAGTGACCGGACACTGAGGATGCGAAAAAGTTTCGTGAACGAAACTGGCACCACTGCTTGTTTGAGACATCACGTGACATCACACGTGTGGCATGCCCTTGGTTTCGGAGAATGCAGGAGTGGATTGTCCAAGAAAGAACTGGAGGAGGAATGTGTTGCAAGAGGCTCTGATGGGAGTATTCGGGAGACGGCAGTGCCACACAGGACACGACGTGTAGGTTGCTGTGTTTGCACTGAGCTGAGAGGCGACATGGCCGGGGTGGGAAGTTCGGAGTACGAAAACCCAGCATTGCTGCCGTCTGACAAGGCCTGGGAAAGAAAGGCTCAAAGGAAGACCTTGTCCAGAAGCTCATCATCTTCCAGCAGGACAGCTCGTTGCCCTTACGGGCGTTGGAAGTTGGAAGACTGGTATGGACGTGCCATGCCCATGTAAGGGCAACTGGAGAAATGATGCGATATTTTTGTCGTTCCGTGTCCCATGTTTGTCCCTGGAGAGCAAGCAAATCCAGCACAAACGTGTTGTTGTGAGCTTTTCCTCGATTTTACAAACGTCGACTTTTGTGAAGAAGAGGTCATTTCGACCGTTACGATGCACGACGTTGTTTCGCCTTCTTCTGCAAATGATGGATCTCGCTACGAAGACGAGGACGACGAGGACGAGAACGACGGCGGCGCCAGCAGCAGTAGCGAAAGGCGCACCGACGACCACGACTGCGACCGTGACCGCGACTGCGAGGACGACGACGGCGACGACAACGACAACGACGACAGCGCGAACGGGCCGTGTGTGAACTGCAGGCTGGGATGCCGTTCAGATCCAGTTTGAACAGTTTGTTCTGAGGAGTTAGCATCAAAGCTGGCATCGGAGGAGGCCAGCCTCTGAGATCTCGACGTCGGCCTTTATTTTTAGGGATCTGTGGCGTACCACTTTGGGGGGGGTTCAGGTACAGTAGTCTCTGTGTCGATGGAAGTCTGTCCGCAGAAACTGCGTGCTTGCAGGCGAAAGCTTCGACAGCTTCCAAAGGCTATGCTGCTGCGGCACCAGCTGCCAGCCTCACATTCCAAGCTGTTTCAGCGGCGCGAGGCTCTGTGATCTTTGCCCAGGCTGCAGCTAAAGCTGGCAAGGATGACGATGACGATGACGACGAGGAGGCGGAGGAAGACGAAGATGACGACGAAGACGACGACGACGATGACGACGACGAAGACGAGGCTGACGAGGCATCTCTGCCATATGTTTGCAGTGCCACGAGGGCAGTGCTATGTTGTGCAGAAAGGCTTGCTACTCCATTTGGATGTAGCCTCGAAGGTCGTAGCTGCCGCCGCCGAAGCTGTTTGTTGTTTTCAGGTAGACGCGGAGGAAATGGAACGGCAGGGAAAGCGAGAAAAGGCCCAGTCACTGAGACTTCGGCGAATCTTCGGTGAACCTGCGGCGATTGCACACGGCTCAAGCCGGCTCATCTTGTGAAGGCAATTCAGAAGGCGCTGCGATTTCTCCTGACAGAGAAGTGCCCGGAAGCTGATTTGCATTTGGCGACCACACCTTTCAGAACAGTTCAGCATGCCCTTTCTGAAAGCATGTCAGTCGCAGAAGAAGGCTCTACGCGGTAGGCTTGTGCAGTGACGTTTGCAGACATGCAGACTGTGAAGAGTCGAGGTCTTTCAGTACAGCTCAGGCGCTGCTTAAGAATGTGCTCAGGGGGGCTCAGACTTAAGGTGCAGCTTTTTTGGAGGTTTGTGTTGTTTGTGTTGCAGGCCTTATAAAAGTTAAGAATCCGAGGTCCAGATGTCAGTGAAGCTCAAATTTTTCAGGTAAAGGCACACGGCCCATGCGTATAATATCGCAATGTGGAGGAAATTCAGCCCTTCAAATTCTCAAGCAATGATGTCTTAACCAGTACTTCCGCTGTACCCCTCGCGCTCTCTGATTTTTACCCGCCGCAGTGCTGTCTAAGGATGGCTTCTTATTAAGCGAACTTGTTGAGAAGCTGGAGATGGTCAACGTGCAAACCTCAGAGGTATGCGAACTTTCCCTGGAAGCCCATGCTGAGAGACTGGCATTTTGGTGGGTTGCACGGATGGCTTCAGTCTGCAGCATTGCAGGTTCGGGGCTTTGCCCCGGAGAAGCTCGGTTCGTTCCTGAGTCATGGAGTTTGCGATAAGTTTCTGAAAATTTGGGTGGGGACAGGTGGTGGCCAGGCGGTGACGGAGATAGTCGTTTGCGTGCAGCTGACATTGCGTGACACTGAGAGCTAAGGCTACAAGACCACGGAGAAGTTCGTCCGTCGCCAGCCTGAGGCGGTCTTAAGATATCGGAAAAAGGATCAACTGGTCCTCCCACCTCGTCGAAAGTGACGGTGAAGCAACACCTGATCATTGAGAAGCATGTCATGCGATGGTGTGCAACCGTCCGAACAAAAGGGGGTTGACTCGCCAACCCCATTGCCTTCGCTCTTCAGACAGCCTTGAGTTCAATACGAAGAGGGAGACATTGACCGAGCTGAGTCTGTGAAGCCTAAGCAGCCGGGGCCTGCTAGTCGCCGCCGTGGATGCGATTTGTGTTGTGCGGACGTGCTCGGGTTCCTCAGATTCGATTGGTTGAGGGGGTCTGGCAAATCGAGAGCACCCATGAATCACAAGTACAGCAGCAAGTAGACTCAAATGATACAGCTGACGTGACAGTGGCCAAATTGTCCGCCCAGTGGATGCCATGGCGCAAAACTACTATGACATTCTCGGAATCACCCGAGATGCAACTGCCGAGGCCATTGTCGCCAGTACATTGATCGAGTAAACAACAGCTCTTTCCTGTGTCAGGAAGTCAAGAAAGCTTACAAGAAGGCTGCATTGACGCATCATCCAGACAAGGCCATCCACTAGACACTGCAGCCCCGTAACCTTACGCTAAGCTGGCAGCAGATGCCTGAGGGTGGAGATCCGGAGAAGTTCAAAGAGTGCGGCGCCGCTGTGGAGACACTTACTGACGATAGGCTCGCATTTGCATGCATTTGTTGGCTCAGCTGTTGCATCGGGGTGTCTTGCGGTCAGGAAGCGTGCCGCATACGATTCAACGCTCATCCGTCTGCGCTCGAAGGATGGACTCGGAAGTGGCAGCTCAGACCTAAACGAAATAAGCAAGTGTTTTGGATGGCTCCCCTCGAGCCGCACCCTCAACCAACCATTTCATATGGACAGCATAGAGGCTGCAATCCTGCCTGCTCACGAAGTGTGAGAGCAAACCCGGCCCTCAAAGAGGGTCCGCGCCGTCCTTGTGAGCGGGTGTCCAAATCATGTATTTCTCCCGATGCAACAAGCCGGTCAAGGCCACTGGAGACGTCTGTCCGCCCAGAAGCAGTTGGAGCCACGTTGCACGGCACTTCAGGTCCTTTTCGCTTCAACCGCGACGCTTCCATGGAGCGGCCAGCAGCACGGCCGGCGCCACCAGCGCCGCCAGCTGCAGGAGCCAGCGAAGCTCTTCAAACCTCTGCCAATTCGAAGACATGCTCTCTGCATCTACATCTCTTCTGTGACGTGTATGCATGTTTTCAGCTTCCACGCGGGCGCCCAGCGCAGCGGCACCTCCAAAACCGCGGGCGCCGAGTGGTGCAGTGGAAATCCCTTCTGACCCAGGCTCGGTGCCTTTGCATGCTTCGAGTTGCATGTCGTTCAGTCTCAGTCCATGGGAAGGCAGTCTCACCATCAAGGAGCTAAAAGAATTGCTGACAGCCTTGGGTATCGATCATGACGGCTGCCTCGAGAAGGCTTGCAGAGATAAGGTTTTGTTTTCCAGTCCCCAGCACCTGTGCCGTTCGCAGGCAGACCTGTTGACACTTCTTCGGGACCGGAAGGACTTGGTCGAAGGGCAGTGTAACTGTGAGGGCACGTGATGAGAACGACACCAGTGACCCTTGAAAGGAGCGTCGAGCAGGTGGGCTGTGAAGGGCTGTCGATGCGGCGGATGTTTTTTGAAGACAGATCACAGCTGCAGGCGATACCCCAAGACAGGCGCCCTCAGCATCTGCTTCTGGAAGACCACATGCGCCTTGTCGTGGCACAGGTCTTGTGGTCCTTGCGTCTCTCACAACTGCAGACGTGCACTGAGGCCCAGCCCACAAGCTCAGCAAGCTCAACGCAGTCATCTACTGGGGCTAAAGCTCTGCGTGTGAAGATCATGTCCATAGGCCTCGCGCTCTGCGTGTGGGATTCGGAATAATGACGTTTCGCGACCTATTGAAAGTTGCCGGACTGGAGGCGAGCAATCCATCAAGAGTGCAGGGGCACGCAGCATTCACCTCGTTGGGTGGTAGAAGACAAGTCGAACATGAAATCCGAGCAACTTATGTGCAATTGCCATAGAACGCAGCATGAAGTTCAGGCTGCAGCGGTCCTCATATGTACATACCAGAGTCTAGAGACATCTAGAGACAATGCCTTCAAAGAGGTAGGGATGTCAATCCTGGCGCAGGTTCCGCCACTGTTGGGAAGAGCACGCTCATCAAGAGATACTGCGAGAACCGGTTTGTGCAGAAATACATTCCAACCATCGGCATCGACTACGGCGTGAAGCCTGTCCGAGTTCTGGGGCACGAGTTGAAGGTAAACTTCTTCGACACATCAGGACCACGACTCGTACGTCGAGTGGTGCTATCTCACTGTTATCGTACTTGGGAACGAGGGGTCCTTTTCTTCGTGGGCCCGGTCAGACCCACCGCAACCTTCCGCTGCAGTAGTCAGCCAAGACGGCAGATAAGCCGCGGATGAGCAGATTTGGGCTTTCTAGTTACTTCTAGTTACTAGCTGACAATAGTCCTGAGAAAACGCCTTCAGTGCCTTAAGAGGATGCTAGCAGAGCAGGAGATGGCTGAAGGCTAGGCAGAGCCTAGGCAAAGCGGATGACTTAGTTGAAGGTATTGGTTCGTGAACGCTGATAGACATAGACAAACAAACATGCAAAGCCGTCTGCCTGGCAAAACGATCTCTGACGTCAGTGTGGCAGGAGGTGAAGAGTTCCGGGACATTCGAACGGAATTCTATTCAATGGGTCAGTCAAACGATGCCCGGTGGCAATCCTTGGCTTCTTATTGCTGGTGATGCTGGCACGAACGGGCTTGAGAGAGAAGGAGTTCTGGGGCCGACATCTGAGGCGGTGCTGCTCGTTTTTGACGTGACGAACCGAAAAAGTTTTACTGAGCTTCCGACCTGGCTTGAGGACGCGTGTAACCTGATGTGGTGCTACTGCCGCAAACACGAACCTTGGAACTCACCCTTAACGAGGAGGCAAGTCGACACCAGTGCTCGCTGTTGCTTGGCTTGCTTCTGTGGGACCCAGCCTCAAGCTGCCTGGTCTAGAAGTGGTGAATGAGGTCTCGCTCGGAGAAGACATCGACAGGTCCTCCCGCAGTGGCGCTCTGCGCCAACAAGGCTGGCTTGGGAGGGTCTCTTGTGGCATTCTGATGTAAATTCTTCTGACAAGTTTTGCCGTTTTGTGCTGGCGCACGCCGAGCCACTCCAAGCGCCAAGACTGGAAGCCATCAGTGTGAGCTTCCAAGTCCTCTCCGCGGCCAGGTTGACCTCGGAAGGAGAGTGGTGACAAGGGCAGAGGGCGAGGAGTTTGCCATTGCGCATGGCATGCGCTACTTTGAGACCTCTGCTGCAACCGGCGATGCTGTAACTGATGCCATGCATTTCCTCTTTGAGCAAGCAGTGCTGCTTGGACCTGGTGTTCGGAGTATGTTGTTCTCTTTTTTCAACCTTTCTTTGGCGAATCGCTGATGCGCCTCTGTCCAGTGCCAGTGTTAAGCAGTATGTCGTGATGCATCCCAGGAGCCACCATCTGGAGTTGGGCCGAAAGCTGCTCTGCTGCATGTGTGAACTTCTATACGGTCCTGCATGGTGTCATGCTCCCACTACTAATGCAGTCCCGAGGATAGCGATGGCTGCTGGCTGATCAGCAGCTTTCGATGCAAGCTACATCCTAGCGGTTTGCATGCCATCCCTTGCAACTGTTTTTCAGCGGCCGACGGCGGTTTGGCAGATGGCCCTGTGCTGCTTGGAAATGCCGGCGCTGTGGGATTAACATGGTCACCACATTGCCCTGTCTCACATCTAGCATTCGCCTCCGTTGGCAGCCAGCTGCCCAAAGAGAAACTGCGCTTCAGCACTCGAGCACTTAGCGCCTGTTGAGGAGACATGTGTAACCTCGTGAAATGCAGTTGCACCCGGCCAAGCGTCTCTCCAACCCTTCTTGCACAGCCAAGTGCCTCCAGTGTGGTGTGCAGTCCGGAAGGAGCCCCAGCTTCTTGTTTTGTCGGTTTCAAGTTGCTTCGCGCCACCCGTCAGAAGAGCCAGGTGCCCTGCCATGGCCGGCCGAAGAGCTTCGCTTTTGTCTGCCTTCGCAGCAGGCTCGGTCGGTGCTTGGGAGCCTTCTGTCATGATGCCTGGTTTTGGTGTTGGCTGGGCAGGCGCTGTGCTGCACTTGCTGATGAGCAACACCGTGTTCGTGCAGCCTGGACCAGGACCTGAGAAGTGCTGGTATTCCACAGGCGTTTGGTACACCATGTCTAGGTGCAGGCACCGTGATTCCCGCAGGTCGCAGAGGTCGCAGATCTTGTCCATCTCAGATGTTCCATTTACCTTTCCTTGCCTGCCTCCCTCTTGGAGTTCTGAGAACACAGGACATCTGCAGACGTCACGAATCCTGCGTCCGGCTTTTGAGCAAGGAAAGGTGAACCTGGGCGTGGATGGATCGGCAGCTCGGTGCAGTTTTGCCGGCTCCGCACGTCGTGTAATTCACTTCAACGGCAGGTCGTGAAGTCCAAGAACATGCCCGCACCGGTTCTAGAGGCGACAGAGGCAACAAACACTGCCATCAAGGACCGCGGGCAGCCTTTAACCTGTTCGCTTGTGTTCGGTTTCTGCCCTCGGAAGGAATGCTTGGATGAAGGCTGCTCCATTGATGCTTTGATGGAGTTGGACAAGAAGCTTGCCAAGGATGAGGAGCTGTGGGGCGAAGTTCATAGCCGTCCAGTGAAAAGTCCTCGCCACGTGATCTCCATGAGTTTCCCGGCAGTGGAACAGGCTACCATCAAGAAGAGCCTCGACAATTTGCACAGCTCGCAAGCTGAAGAGTACTCGGAGGCCGTGCAGCTGAGAGCCACCAGGGTGCAACATGGTGCAAGCTTTTGGGAGGAAGGCAAGGAGCAGATTGCCTGGCTGAGCCGCTTCGAAGCAAGCTTGTTTGCGACCCGTGTGTATGTGCGGACAATCGTTCGCACAGGCAATTACTTGGACCGCAGTGGAAGCCTCCGCGCCCAACTCCAGGCGTGTGAGAGTCTTCCTGCGTTCAGAGCATCCTGCAAAGAGCAGAGTTGCACTTAAACCAGGCATCCCCGCAGAGCGCCTCAACTGGGGTAGTGTTCCTCGGTCCTGGGGCCACGTGATTTGACCGTGTTAGTTTGTGATCCAACCTTGAGGCCTATGCATGAGCAAGATGGTGTAATGGGGTTGTCCGTGCAACAAGTCGCTAGCCGGCATCAGTCGCAGGTATATCGCCACTTCTTCCGATAGCCATATATTCGATCGACAGTGGGCAGGAGGTGTTGTTACGATATCACCACCCTTAAAAACCGACACAGGTTCCCTTGTGGACCAGTTTTTCGTAGGCTCATGCGCATTACGTCGTAGTCTTCGGAGAACTGAATCCTTGGATAATTTGCTGGGCTAGTCGGCGTGAAGCAGTGTCGTACCTATCAGGCAGGGCTTGCACCTGCAAGGATGACAAATTCTGCATCGCGTTCCTGATTGTTAAGAGACACATTCAGGAAGAGGGCAGGGTGCGGAGTCTCGGATTTTCGATTGAAGCATGGCGCCCATAAGGCGCAAGCGGCGCAATGAAGAGAATTCCATCTTGCGAGCAGTAGTCTAGCACGGCAGACATGTTCCCTGAGGCAGTCAAGACCTTGAAGGCTGAGGGAGACTTGGTTGCCCAGCTCGTGCGTGCTGCGTCAGTGGCCTTTGGCGGAGGGCGCAAGGGTGACTATCCCAAGGCCCAAATATGCAATGTCCGGGTGCACCGTGCGTGAGAGGTTGTTTGTATCCAGCTTCCAACTTGTGCAGGTTGGTGTGTCTCCATATTCTTCATGAAGCTTGAGGCCCTGAGAGGCTGCAGCGACATTTTTGCCAGTGTAGTGTACGGGGTGTCTAGGCAAGACCTTTACCTTTGGAACTGTCGAAGAATTGGACACTCCCCTGCGCTTAGACGACGAGACTTCTTGCCGTGAGACGGCTGGCTTTGTTGAGCATCTCTGACAGATACCATACATTGTGCTCTCATCTATGGGCCGGCTCCGAAACGGACAAGGGTTTCGCAGCCCAAGTTTGGAATGAGGCACAGGTGCAGCACGCATGTTTAGGTCGGGCCTTCAAACTTGGGCTGCATGCTTTCTAGGTCGATCGTATTGCGGCAACATCGAAAAGCAGTGAGCGATGTCAACACACATCCCCAGAGCCGCCTCGTACGACCTTCACTTGTCATGGCCATACACCGCGATTCTTACGAGCTCAGGTTGATCGATTTTGCACCAGATGTCGTTCACGCAGATAACAAATATGGGCCGAACAGAATATCAGAATACGCCGTGGCTTGTGGTGGAAGCCACTTTCCAGCTCGTGCCTGGAGTTTCATGTTGACTGGGCTTTGTGCGACCTCCACCTTTCCGGGCATTTCGGCACAGCACTGCTTTGCATTGTGGTGTTTGAGCCCCGTGAACTTTCGAAGGTGCCACACTGAGTTTTATTATTTGTTTCCTGTCGAAGAGCGATTTAACGCGCACGCTTGGCTGAGGAAAGATGGCTGCGAAGCGCAGTCTGCGGCTGCTGCCTCTCGCAGTCGCAGGTCAGTATTGCTGAGCACACTTCCGGCGATGGACACCCTCTACTTCTCGCTACCGGCGGCCCTGAGATTGCTTCAGGTGTGTTGTGGCTCTGCCGGTCATCCCTTTCTCTTCGAGGTCCTCGTGAACACCGGGCTCTGCGGATCTTGACCTTGACAGATGTGTTTGCGCCAGGCGCTGCAGCACCGTTGTCTTTCGCCTTCCCAAGGCCTTCGCTTTCACTTTCAGCGTCGTATCCTGTCTTGGTGTTGCCGTAGGGCCAGAGATGCCGAGAAGATGCGATTAGCCAAGTACGAGACCGCCGGCGCCTTAGCCACGACGTTCAGATGGGTTTGGGTGTAGGGGCCGCGGCGCTCACGCGATAAAGATGTATTTCACGTCTGTGGTGGATCAGGCAGACGGCAACCCAGTCAATGCGCTGCAGCTCGGAAGCAAGCTGTTAGAGTTCTCGAAGTTCGGACGAGTATAGTTTTGTTGTCATTTCAAGTCTTGCTCCAATCCTGTTCCTCTGCTTCTCTGCGATCCTCCACATTTTCCACGGCACAGCATGTCTTTAAGAAAGTGCTCGGGGGAAGGGACTGGCCAGCAGGCGCTGCTGGAATACGCACCAAAGTTATGCATAAACTGCTGAGATTTTGCGGGCAGCCTGGTCGTTGAACTTTGGCATAGTATCTGCAGAGCATCTAGTCTCAAACTTGTTGCGTGAATTTGCTGGGCCAGTCGAAGCCCTGCAGTTGTTGAAATGGTAAAGGTACGAAGAGTCTGCATATTCCCTGCCTGTGATGCTCGGCAGGGATGTCGCGCTGCCCCACTCTTCACCGCCATTTCGGCGTATGGCTAGTTGTGTTGGCATGCGACGGCGAGCATGCTATGTCGAGAACTGGTCTTATGTTTCTGTTGAGAGAACAGGTGCAACCATTCGCGAAACTTTGCCATAACCTACGTGTGATGACTTTCGGAAGGTCGGTCGCGGCTCATCTGGCGGCTGGGGAAACCGGCAGCCCACAGCCTCTCAAACCCAAAAGCCCAAAGGCAAAATGCGAGTCATGGGCAGCGCATGGGTTTCGAGGCACTACTGATGTGAACGTTGCTGCACATCGGAGCACTTCTTTGTTGCCGATTGATGGTTCGACTCGAGAAGCGCGTTGTGCACATGCCGAATCGCAGTCGTTGGATGTAGTCGAGAAGATGCCGGCAGCGATAACGCGGTAGTAGACGCAGTCGGACATGACCTGACTTGAGATTTTCTGAAGGCTTTTTCTGTTTGATTTTCGCCCGTTTGTTTGTATGTGTGTGTGTGTGTGTTTGTGCGAAAGGTTAAAGCCACAGAAAGACGAGGACGAGGACAGCCTGGAGGAAACCACAGAAGAAAAAGTGAAAGCTGGTGCTGCGGCTTGGCTCGGTTTGTTGGCTCTCAGAGTGTCAAAGTCTTGCTCGTCAACCCGTACCGAGATTCTATCGTCCTACGCTTTGGCCTTCGTGCCGCTGGGACGATTGCTCAGAGCCCCCAGTTCGAAAAGGGCATAACTCTTTGCAAAGGATCCCGTTGGCCTTCCTGGCAGCCGTCATCCTGTCAATTTGGACGCCCGGCACCGACGTGGAAATCGGAGTCGGGGCCTTACCCGTCGCCCCGTCAACGCCCCTTCAAGGTGTGCCGCTCAAAAACGTGTGTCTCTCCGTTAACTAAAGCAGGCATCGAAGAGTTCCCCCTATCGCAGCATGGGGGCGATCTCGCGGTTTGACGACGAGATGGACAGACAAAGGCCATCCGGAACATGATGCATGATCTGGTCCGAGACTTTTTTTGCCAGGAGAGACTACGAGAATCGTCCAGAAAAGGAGTACTGAGATGCTGGAAACACGGTTCTTACGTCTCCGTCTGAGCATGGGGCTGGCGGTGGTTCCGATAATGGTGCTGTGCTGCAAACCCGCACGTGTGTGCCTGGCATGTGCCAACAGTCCACTTTATGTGCCGTGCGCGCACTTACTCCTGCTAAGCCCAATGTAGACAGGTAGCATTTCTATATCTTTCGCGTGCCACAGTTAGGACTCTTCTGACCCAGCTACCGGTGTTCGTGCTTCGAATTCAGAAGCCGACCGGGACCACGCAGGGGAACCTGGAGCAAACAAGTTGCCGACTTTGCGTGAAGCCGTGCTACCATTGCCAGCGTGAAGCATTCACATGGTCGTTGCATTATCTGACCTGGGCTCATTGAGTTGGTTAAGTATCCTACACCCACATTCAGGCCATCATGAGAGCCCGTGTGTTGAGCAGGACAGGACTGCAGCCAGTCTATATGATGCCACACGTAAGAGGATCTTAAGAGGCCTCAGGGCACTCCTTCTGGATGCATGGAGAGCAGTGCTGGCAATGAAGCTGGCTTGGAGCCGGATGGACGTCAACACGAGGACGTAATTGCAGAACCTACTGCAACCCAATTACAGTTGTTGACGGAGGATGAAGGCCGACGGACAGACAGACTTGCCAAAGAGCGAGTTCGGCAGATGTACTTCGGGGGTTGCATGTTGCCCGTCTCAGCCATTGTGACATGAAATGTTTGCAGTAAGCAAACCTCGAGGCTTCGCTTCGGCAAAGTTTGGCGCCATTGCCGACGACTGCCGGCGTGGCAGCGCTTCCTGCTGTAGCTTGGTTTCTCTTTGTCCAGACCTCGACCTGTGCCCCCTCTGACTCTGGATTGTTGTCTTCCTTCCGCTTGCTATGCCTCTACTGAGATTCTCAGGTGGTGTGTCGCTTGGTTGGCCTTCTTGCAGCTTGCCGATTCTGGGAGGCGCTAGTTGACATCCTGCGACCTTTCCTCATGACGTTCACTCCGACCGTTACCTGTCCTGTCTTTGTTCTTGTCTGTCCTCATAGTCGGTCCTGGGGAACAAGGGTTCGCTCCATTCATTTGATGTACGGGGGGGGGGGGGGGGGGGGAGGTGGAACAATCCATCCCTCGGGGAAGGGGGTCAGAGCGTGTGTGGGGGAGCTCCGCCCACCAAAGCTGCCTCCCACTCCCTCCATGTCATGTGTCTGCCATACCTGATTCTTGTACCTAAGTTTCCGTATGGCTTCCGTCACTACTATTTAATGTTATTGTCATCATGAACATCATCGGTTTCACTGTGGCAGATCAGTTGATCAACTCGCAGGTGTGATCACCACGGGTTTCCGTCATGTGTGCTGGCGCTTGTTGGGGGCGGTCGGTGAGCATGCCGATCTGCCACCCAGCTCCGATCACTGTTCCATTTCAGTGGTGGATTGCAGGGAAGATTGGTTCCGATCGACGCGCAATGGCAACGAGTAGCACGGCATGTGCACAGGTTTGCATGCGCAGCTGGCATGAGGGCATGCGTAGTAATAATCGGCTGGTGCGGGCACCTGTTGCGGGTTGCTGCACATGACCTCGCGGCTCCTGAGTTTGACGTCCTGGCCATGGACCGGTTGTTCTGGGCGATCTGAAAACCCGCGACCCTCACCTGCTTGGTCGCCACAGACCTCGCCAAGTTCGACCTGCAATTTTCGCAGCTCGCCAGGTCTGATTTGCAACAGACTCGCGTACACCTGCACCGTGAGTGCGTGCTACGATTCATGCCAAAAATTGTTTCACCTGCAAGGTCCCAGCAAAAGGCCCTTTGGGGTAGCGTGGGAGAGTCATAGGAGTTTCCTTCTAGCTGTGCAGTTAAACCAACGGCGTTCAGAACTTTGGATCGATCTCCAGCATTGCTTTGCGTTGCTTCTGCCATTGCCTTGCTTGCTGGGTATGCGATTGGAGGCCCTGCTTTGTGATCGAGAGTTAAGTGGAATCCTCTGCTTTTCATAGGTTATCAGTCGTAGGACCTCTTGCTTCCCATTGTGGTGAATCACACTTGTGTGAGTAGGGACACAGCCGGCGCAGACGTCGATCCCGCAGCATCTGTCGGTTCGACGTCGCGCCACCGGACTTAAGCTTTTCTCCTAGCCTCCTTCGTCGCCGCCATGACGTCGTACTCACAGGGGGAGATCGCGTCGGCCGTCGCGGTGATCCGCGCGGCCGTTTCTGGTGGCGTCGACGTGGGGATCCACTTCGCCCACTCGAGCGTCGAACGCTTCAGGTGGCGATCGGCGGCGCTGAGGCTGCTGTCGCCGAAGCCAAGGCCAAGGCAGTCCCGGCGAAGGCGCCGGCCAAGCAGCCACCGGTCTTGCCGCCCGTGCAGCCGCGCACCTCGTCGGCGGGCACCACGGTGACTCAGCCGGCTCCTGAGCCGCCCTTGGCAGGCGAGACTGGCGGTGCATGCGCTGGCTTTGCTGGAGGTTATGGCGCCGGCGCGCCTGTGGATGTCTTGGGCAAGTCTCCACCGCCGGCGCTGTGGCAGAGGATGGGCCTCGAGTCGGAGGCTGACGCCGTGCAGGCGCAGCAGGTCGGCTACACCACTGCCGCAGCATCCTACCGGGCGCGCTCGGCAACCGGCAGACAGCAGCGATCGGTGCCGGCGAGCCCGGCCTCCACTGGCGGCCTCATCGGCTACTTGTCTGAAGCGGACCGTCGGGCAGCCGATCAACGCATGGCCGACCTCCAGGCGCAGATCGCTGGCGAGATCCGAGAAGGGGCACAGGCGGAGGCTGCGCGGCGGAGCACATCCACCTCCGGCTCGCAGGACCGGTTCCGGCAGCCTCCCACTGGCGTCTCGGCCTTCCCTCCAGTGCAGCAGGCGCCGGCGAGGGTCCGGGACCCCGTCACTGGCGAAGGCTTTCCGCTGTTGCCGCCCAAGCCGCGGCGGGACGCCCCAGGCACGAGGTCGACGGGACCGGACGCCGTATGGCCAGCCGCAACTCCGGCGGGTCCACCGCCGCCCCTGCCGCCCCAGCCGGGTCGGAGGCCGGTGCCGGCACAAAATCGAGGGCGGGTGAAAAGGCTTCAGCCGACTGCTCCGAGGAGGCCGGTGCGACATCCTGCGCCGTCGGCCTGTGCCACCGGGCCGGGCTGGAACATGGCGGCTGCCCGCCGCCGGCTCGCAGCCGGGCTCGCCCTGCAAAATCCTGGCCGGCACATCCGGAGCCAAGGCCAGGGGCGCCGCCTGAATATACCTCTCGACCGCCATGCACGACCACCTCCCAAGCAGTTGGATGATGGGCGTCGGGACCCTCCGGGATGCCAGCCAGGCCGCACCGGCCACCTGTGCCAGATGGCCGCCGAAGAGCTGCACCAAGGCGCCATTGTGGTCGACCGCCGTAAGTTGAATGCCGGCCGCCATGAGCACCCGCCGAAAGAAGAGGATGCACTCCGGCTTAGCCCAAGTCGCGCCGGCTCCGTCCGGGAACAACGGGCGATCGCTGTACCAGACGCCGGCTGCCTTCGAGGTCCTGGGTTCGCGCCGCCGCAAACTCAATTTCGTGGAGCATAAACCACGTCGCCAGGAGCAAGGCGTCCGCCGCGTGGGCCGTGGTCCAGGGCGACCACGCCTCAGCCGGCTCGCCAGGGTGCAGTGCAATGAGCTTCGCCAGGCGGTCGACGGGAAACGTGGCCTTGAGCCGAGTGCCGGGGAGACCCCGAAGCACCGCCCGGGTGAACCGCCGCATGGACCGCCGGAGCAAGGGGTCGACGGCCTCCTCGCGGAACCTTTCCTGATAGGTCGCCGCGGCGTCGAAGTAGTTCTGGACCGACTTGTAGCCGCTGTGCCGGAAGGAGGCGGCGACTTTCCGCTGTGATGGGCCATGGGCTGATGGCCCACGCCTGGCAAAGGTCCACCCATGCCGGGACCCGCGACTGGAACGGGGCCTGGGACGACCTCGCCAGTATATTCTCATCCAGGTCCGCCAGGGTGGCCGCCTGGTTCTCCGGCAACGCCGCTTCGAGGGCGGTGCGCTTGCACGCGCCGGACCGCCCTGCGTACCCGGATGTCACGGTTGTGCCGGCGCCGGGTTAGTGGGGGGTCCCGTCGCCAGGGCTAGCTGCCGCCCGGCTGCCCACAGGCCGGTAGAGCGGGGAGGGTCCCGTCGGCCGGCCTGAACCAGAGCGCCCGCCTTTGCCAGCGCCGAGTTCACGTCGGCCGCCCCAACAGTGGGAAGCGCCAATAATTCCTCTGCCGCCCCTATCTCGACGAAGGCACACACCAGCTGAGCAAAGTCCTCGCCGCCAGCCAGGTTAACGGCCGGCATCGCCGTCTAGGAGGGGGGGGGCGGCGGGAAACCGGTCTCCTCGAGCCACCTGCGCCTGCCTCCTAGAAAAATAAGGAAAGGAAAAAGAGACAAACACGACCACGACGAAGCCACTGAGGAGCGCGCCGGCTGTTTTTACGCCACAGCTGAAGTGCAAACTGCTGGTGAGACCCGCCGGCACTTACGGCCCGACGAGTCCCGGCACTGATCAAAGAGGACCGGACGCAGAGGCTCGCGAGAGCTTGCGCCGGCAATGTGAATTAAAGCCCTAAGCCAAAAATCGCCGAGCACGCCAGGGACTCGCCAAGCCAGCGAAGTCACCGAAGAGCTCGACGACGAGCGCCGCCAGGTAGAAGACCTAGTAGCACCGGCCCCGGCTCGCCCGGTGGCACTCCACACACCAGTGGGCTCGTGCGCCTCCAGGTCGCCAGCACGGAAGCCATGGCCACGCCGCACGAGGATGGGTTTAAGGCAACGGCCGATCGGGCTGATGCACTCTTCGCCGGCAGGGCATGGGCGGCCACACCAGCCCACTACCCACACTTCGCCAGCAAGGCGTTCGGGCACCTTCATGCCACGAATGCCCGCCGGCAGAGAGCGGAGGAAGTAGAACGACGCCGCCTCCGACATCGGCATCAGCCTGCCTTCGCCAGCTCTCTCCAGGTCCTGCAGCTGCTGGATGTTGGCCAACGCCAGCGCCTGCAGCGACGGGTCCTGGATCGCCTCATCTGTGCCAGCGCCAGGCTGCTCCATGGAGTGGACGTGGCGTACCGGATCACAGACCTGCCGGCTGATTCGGCATGGTGCCTCCGGTGCTTTCCGTCGGCCAAGGACGCGCCGGCACCCGGCCCCCCCAATGAGGTGCTTGAATCGCCGGTGGCGTCGAGCTCGGAATCGGGCGGCTCGGCGTCCTCTTCGTCATCTTGAGGGGTTCACTGCGGCATGAAAATACCGGCGGCTGCCCGTAGGTGCTTCAGTCGTCGCGACGGTTTTGCCGGCAGCCTTTGTCGCCTCTAATTTCGCACGCCTCGGCGCGCTCGTCATGGCGGCGCCTCTGGGTGCATCCTCTATGGTGGCCTTTGCTGACCTGGCGGCTTCGGCGGGGGCCAGCCCGGACATGGTCGATTACCTCAAGGCGCGCTCCCTGTGGATCGTACGGCGACCCTGCGCTGGCCTGGGACGAGGTCGACAAGAAGGTCTTTCGGCAGTTCCGGGACGGCGTCCTCGTCGGCGGCACGCCCTTCAAAGTGCCCGAGGCCGAGGCCGTCATGGAGCCGCAGGAGTCCTCGTCTGCGCGTCGGATTTCGGCTGGGTGTCCCAGGCCCCCGCTTTTGTGGCTGTCGGCGCCACTCACAGACCTGACCGTCAACCCTGCGTCCTTCCAGTGGGGGAAACAGGGCTCGTACCGGCGCCTGCGGCTGGAGGAGCCTCGGGCACACGCTGTCGGCGACCTGGCCTTCCACGACGCCGTCGCTTCGGGCCGGCTACGCCTACGCTGCGCCACCACCCCGGCCGAGGAAGAGACCGGCCGACCGGCGCCCAAGAGGCTTAGGCAGAAACTCCCGGAGCCGGCGAAAGCCAGATGGCAAGCCGACTCCGTGGCACTACACGGAAGTCTCCACGTCATCCCGGCGGACGTCAAGGAGAAACTGCACATGCTGCCCCCCGGCTACACCAAGGCGAGCTTCATCGACGACCCGACCCGGCTGCTGGCCAACGGTTGGCACTGGGGAGTGGCACGCAGGCTCTTGGCGATGCTGGTGGTCATGACGTCCGCCACGCCGGTCGCTGGATTCCCTTCACGGCGCCGGCGAGAACCACCATTCAGTGGATGGCCGAACTAGTTCGGTGCCGATGCAACCTCCGCGGCTCCGACCGGAGCTGGAGCTGCCGGAGGATGACCCAGGCGGCGCAGCTGAAGCATTGCACGGTGACGCGCCCGCCGATGCTGGAGCCGGCCCTGGAGCGGCTCCAACTTTGGGCGGTGTGGCGCCACGATGTTCGGCGCATACGGGCCGAGGTGCTGGCCGAGCTGGCCGGCCTGGTCGGACCGGACCCACCTTTGGCTGCAAGCGCGCCCGGCGTCCATCAGAGCCACCTACATGGTCCCCGGCAAGGCCCGGCACACCCAAATCCCCGTCATCCTCGATTTCCTGGCGATCGCTGCCCGGACGTGGCCGGCATCTCGGAGGATCTGACCGACGGCTTTGACATGCTCGGCGAGCTCCGCCGCGGGCCTGGCTGGAAAGCCCGCACTGACGGCCGATACTCGTCGCCGGCTTCCTTGGACTCCTTAACTGGCGTTTTGTCAAAGACAGGACGTCCCGGCCACGAACCGGCGAGCACACCGACAAGCTGCTGGCGGAGCTGGTGGACGAGGCTAAGCTCGGCAGGGTCGTCGACCGGCTGGGACATCTCCACCACGGCCCTGCGCCACACGGCCGGCGCAGACCGCCTTGTGCCGCCACCGCCCGGCCGGCATTTCGTCGCGGCGTCCTTCCCCATCCTGCAAGAGGACGAGAACGAGAACGGCGACACCAAGATCCGCAGAGGCGAGGATTGGCGGCGGGCCGGCCACAACTCGACGGTCCGGGCGCACGACGTTCCCACCCACCACTTCGTCGACGACTACGTCGACATCATTCGTCGGGTGGTCGAGCTGGTCGGACCGGCCCAGGCGGAGGCATTGAGGGTCTACGGCCATGACCTCCTCAATGCCTACCGGCAGTGGCCGGTGAAGCACCCGGCGCACTCTGGCACGTTCCTCCCGGCGCCGGAGGGGGTCATCATGTGGTTTCACATGGCGATGTGCTTCGGCGCTTCAACCGGACGGCCGACGCACTGCAGGCGCTCAAGCGCGTGCTCCTTTGGGTCGTCTCCGGCCACTTCGTCGACGACTTCAACGGCGTCGACTGGCGGGCGGCGCCTTTGAAGGCATGGCCGAGTTCCTGGCGCAGCTCGGCCTCCAGACCAAGCTGTCGAAGGCGCAGAAGCCGGCCACGGAGCACATCATCCAGGGAGTGCTGCTGTCGATCCGGCGCGACGGGGTGGTCCTTCAGCCCACTCCGGCGCGGATCAAGAAGATTGTGGCGGCGATCGGTCGGGCGCTTGACCAGCTAGGATGACCTCCCGCCGGACGTGGCGAGCCGGCTGGCCGGCAAAGTCAACTTCGTCACCCAGTCCACCTTCGGGGCCGTCGGCAAGGCGGCGCTTCAGCCAGTCTACGCCCGGGCGCACGACGCGGCCGCGGCCTCCGACACGAGCCTGTCGGTGGGCCTTCGCGCGGCCTTGACGTCGCTCAGGGCTTTGCTGGCGACGATCCAGCCGAAGATCATCCCCTTCATAGACGATGGCGCGCCGGCGGCCATCATCTACGCAGACGCCTTCTACAAGCCCGGCGAGACCCGACACAAGGCGGGCCACATCCCAGCGACGGTCAACATCCGCCCGGGCACAAAGGGGATGAATGGCTGGGGCTACGTCGTCCGGATCGGCGCCCACGTCTTCTTTGACTACGCGTCGCCCCGGCCTACTTCCTCGAGCTCTTTGCGGCGTGCAAGGCGTTCATCTATGTCCTCGAGATCCTGGCGCAGATCTTGGCCTTGGTGACGCTGGCGCGGCGCCTCCCACAGAGGTGGCTGGCGTTCATAGACAATGTCGCCGGCCAGTGGGCGCTCACCAAGGGGTACGGGAAAGACCCCACGGTGAACGGCGTGCTCGCCGCCTTTTGGTCCACTGCGGCGTCGGCCGACTGGCTACCCGGCTTCCGGCGGGTACCGTCGAAAGCCAATGTGTCCGACTCCGTCTCCAGAGGCGACCTGGCGATGGCGCAGGCCATGGGATGGACCCGGGTGCACACACCCATGCCGGCCATCCTCGAAGTTCTGGCGAAGGCGGCCCAGAACCTGCACTTCGCGGTGGACGTCGCCGCCGGCCAGCTGTTGGAACTGGCGATCTGAGAGCGGTAGGGCTGCCGGCGCAGAGTGGGAGTGGGGAGCGCCGGGCGGGATGCGGAATGCGTCCCCGGCGCCGTACAGCCCTGCTCTGGCGAATGCGACGGACCCGGCGCGAGAGGCGCTTCATTCCATCCAAAAAGGAAGGGTCCTGTCGTCGTACCGTTTTGGTTCTCAGTCGGTGTCGGCTTTGTCGTGAATCACACTTGTATGAATAGGGACACAGCCGGCGCAGACGTCGATCCCGCAGCACCTGTCGGTTCGACGTCGCGCCACCGGACTTAAGCTCCCACCCTCTCCTCCCATTTATTTCTCATTTTGGTTCTCAGTCGGTGTCGGCTTTGTCCATTTCTGCTTGCTGCTGCCACCCCTGCAGTCGGGTCGTCCATCCGACAAGCTTCTGAAACACAACCGATTATGATATCCTTGCACCACTTGCTCCGTTCGGACCTGTGCCAAGTAGCGCCACAGAGAGACAATGACTTCGACCGTCGGTTCTTCACTAGTGACGCCGGTTTCTCGGAATGACGCGGAGCCTGATGATAGTGCTCGTGCAGCCTCCTTCTGGACCCCTGCCGGCCGACCGGGCTGCCGGCTTCTCTCTTCGTGGTGAAGCGGCTGTCTGTCGTGGGCACTGTGGTGAACGGTGCCGGCTCTTTGTAGGGAGGGTGCAGTAGTGCGAACCCCGGCAAAGGCACGACCAGCCGGGTGCAATTCGCACTCCTTAGCGCCGCTCTTGCTTGGTAGCACACGTGTGAGGAACAAGCGTCAGCGACCAACCGCACCATTGTGGCTCGATCGCCTTTACGACTTCGTGCGCTGTCCTCCCTGTTTGTTCAATGTCGGTTTCACAGACCTACCGGCAGCACTCGCCCAACCTGGCGGGTCCGGCCATGTCCGGCCCCGGTTTTGGTGGGCGGTGTGTCCGGCCGGGCTCAGCTCATGCTTCGACCAAACGGACAGTATGGCTGTAGCTTTTGGTTGACATGTCGTTAGTGTAGCGCTTGCTTTTGTGTGCCCGTTTCTTGGTTTGACTTTGTGCTGCATGATGGAGACTTCCCGGTGAGCATGTTACTAAGGATGTCGCACGCACAGAGTTCAAATTGTTCGGAAGCCGAACCCAGCAGGTCTAATGGGCCGTCTAGTTGGGCGATGATTGGAGTGACAGGCTCTGCCAAGGCCAGGCAAGCGACCATCTTCACAGCTTGCACCTGTAAGCTGCCTGATGCCTTCCAGGCGGGAGGATCGGAGCCGAGAGGGCCCAGCGTGCTAGTGGAGGCGACATAGTTGCATGTCTTGGAGCTACCCTCAGCATTTGATGTCGACACAACGTGTTGCACAGACTGCGTTTCCAGCCGTGCTGCATTCGACATGAAGCCAGCGCAGGCTAAGCCGAAGACACGAAGCAAAGAGCCGAGCACGAACCGGCCCTTCGGGGAATACAAGGACTCTCCGTGTAAACACTTAGCCATTACATAGCACCGGTCGTGACTTAACTACGTTTTCCGCTTGCGTTTCCAACTGATCGCGGCGTTGTGCAGATGCTGCAAGCAACTGGTTTTTAGATGCTGGGAGGTGTTGTTTGTGTATGCTGCAGAAGTTCGTTCTGCTGGGCAGATGACTCGTATTATCAGTGGGGATCCAGCTGCTTCTCTCCGTCCTTGGCTTGATCCACTTCTGCAGGGAACCGTCAACAACATATAGTTTGTGGTAACACCTGTTCCCTTGTGCTTTGCTCACTGCCGCCTGCAAAAACATCGTGGCTACATGCGGCCTGGGCTGTAGGAGGTCAGTATGTTGAATGCCGTGTGTGGTGCCTTCTGCGCTGTTGTCGAGTAGAGTGTATTAACTTCTTTGCTGCACGCATGACATGCATGATGTGTCAGTGTCAGCCGGCCTGCCTGTTGACTTAGATTAGCCGATTTGAGTGGAACATTGTGCACCAGAGAGCGGTTGCCGCACCTCAAGCGCAGCCCTTTCAAATTGATACTCGCAGCTGCTGCGTGCAAGAAAGCCCGATTGACAGCGAGCCTGAAGATGCCAGCTGCTCTGCAGGACGGGAGGGTCAGAGGTGCAGACAGCACGGCAGAGGAGGAAGAAAATGACGACGATGAAGATGCAGACGAGGATGATGACGGGGATGATGACGAGGATGATGAGGACGATGAAGACGACGGTGACGACGAAGACGAGGAAGGGGATGACAAGATCGAAGAGAAGCTCGACGAGCAGGACCTGACATTGTCTGACATTACATCAAACGAGGGCTTTCCACAGGTACCCGGGCAAGACTAGTCCGGTCCCTGTCATCATGTTTGCAAGCCCAGAGATGCGAAGATACGCTGAACCTTGCGCTGATTTCAAGGAGAAAAGGATCGATCAAGACCGTGGCAAAGCAGAGGACAACACTTGGAGAGTGAAAGCCGCGAGCTCTGATGAAACCCTGCAGGCCCCGTTCATATCACATGTCCCTGCTCGTCAGAATGCGCAAGCTCGCGCTGCATGTAGCAACGTTTCCCTGCTGTAAATCGCCGTGCGCCTATTGGGACGAACCCCGGGCCGATACAGGTCGAACATGCTTTTGCTTATCTCCCATGAGTGTTCTTCGCATCAGTGTACAAAAATCATTGGAAGCTGGAAAGCTCAACGCAATCTGTGGACAACGATGGTTTGGAGCAACCCTGAGGCTGAGCCTGCCTTTCTGTGAGCGAAAATGTTTCCCCATCGCATAAAGAGGCACTCCCGCAATCGTTGGTATTGCTCTTAAGGTGATGGTTTTGTCCTCGAGCTTGCCACAAAACTTCCATATAGCTTCCAGAAATATGTAATGGTTTCTCGTTCGTACCTTAGCTGCCTAAAGAGAATCAGGGCTTTGTGCAGGCGACTGGGCAGGTCCCTGCGCGCACTAACCCCAGAAAAAAGCACCCAAAGACAGAAGGAGCAGGAAGGAGGGAGACGCAAAGCAGAGCCGACGGCAGAGCCTGTTTCCAGGAAGAGGTCGCCACCATCATGCAAGGAGAGGCCGGGCTTTGCCACCAGACCCTTCTCACCCACAGAGGCCAACAAGGCACTCAAGGTAATCATGCAGCCCAGGGAGAAAGGTTGCAGAAAGGTTGCACAGGCTTTCGAGGTGCACTTGTGGAGGCTGGATCTTGCTCGCAGCCAACAAATTCCTCAACTGATGCCCGCGGCTCGTTGTGTGTCAAGGGTGCTACAGTAAAAGGCACTTTCTACCTCTAGCTCTTCTTGGTGAGGTTTGTTGCCGCGGCGCTGTGGCGCGGATACAGACCACCGCCAAGCTGAGGATGCTGTGACCTTGCCGTGGTTCTTCGTGGAACAAGGGCTTGTTTGCAGCCGAGTCTAGCGAATCAATTGAAAAAGCTTGGCCTCTTTGACGAGGGGCGGCCGGGTCTAGTTAGTCTGCTGCAACATTTCCCTTGGAAGCGTGCGTGAACGAAGTGCGCCGATTTGAGATGCACCAGATTTCCAGGAGTTCGTATTTGCAATCTCCACGAGACCCGACGAACCTCCAGAGCTGGTGGTCTCAGTTGGCGCCTTCCACGGCAAGGTGGGGGCAGCTTTCAGTGCCACATCTCGGTAGTGTTGGGAGCTGATGGTAAGGCTGTGGCAGGGCGAGTGGAAAATCGAACGACCTTGCAGGGTCTGCTGTTCCCAAGCAGATTTGTCACGCTTGTTTGGGTTTCTCTCTTGAGAATACGGTGGGCCGTGCTGGGTAGCTGCAATCTGAGCTTCCTCGGCTATCTTCGTGGTCCATAGCTCCCTTCAAAGGGAGGGGTCGGTCTTGGGTCGCCGCGGTGGCTAGAATCGAGGCTCCTCCACAGCCCCCGCCGCCGTTCATGGTGTTGGATGGGTGGGCTTTACAAACCCCCCCCTCGTCTTGGGTTGGATGCGTGGGCCCGCAGAGCCTGAATTTGTGGTGTTTTTATTGCTGGTCCTGGCTTGGGTCTACATGCACATGCACGCATTGCGCGCAACAAAAGAACTACGATTAGACTATATAGGAAAAACACATTTGAATCACGTACTGTATGCGTATATGTACACGTACACCTTTTTGGGTATGATGATGTGTGCGTATGCGCACGCGTGTCGGAATGCTTGTTTAGATGATTTATATGTATGTGTTTGTTTATATGACTTTTATGTATATGTACACTTGTACACATTTGTATGCACGTAGGCACGTGTATGTGTGCATGTATGTAGGTCTGTCTGTCTGTCTGTCTGTAT